TTTGCATAGCCGTTTTTTTGACTGAAACTTCCTTTAAATGTGTTTCCTCTCCAGCTAGCATATGTGAAGAGTGACCTCTTATCCATTTACATACCTACCCAGAAGTCATGTGATAGGGTTTTACGTCAAGCTGTCAATTATGATAACAGACACAATAAGAACAGCCCAAGTGTTGATAGCCTGCTTCCTGACTTTATTGAAAAGTTTGTTGATAGTCCACTTGTGTCCTTTCAATTGCTTGCCTCTAATAAAAGACTACCTTTCCAGTGGTCTCAATATACCTAGCTTTGGCTTTGCCATTTGCCAGGACAAACATTGTAAAGAAATTTCAATTAATATCTTAATTAAAAAAAAAAAATCCTACAGAGGCAATGTCTTATTAGGAAGCCATCTGGTGTAAGAGAAATGTCCAGTGTAATGAAAAGTACCTCCAAATTTGAGTTTCAAAACTATATCAAGGAAAGTGTTGAAAATATTTTGATATAAGGTGGCCCAGTAATTGAAATTGAAATAATAGCATTAAGTAGTCATGCAAGAGATGTAACATGCTGAAGCTCAAGCACCAATAAAATCATGCAATTGTGTACGTAATGCAAGGACCTGAGTTGATCAGGCCATGTATTCATTAGATCTAATAAGTGCTATATATAGTCAGGAGATTATAATTTTGAGAGATGATGAAAACAAGCCTTACATCTTACGAACTAGAGCTTACTTGACTTTGTTGTCTCCCTTTGGAAAGGCAAAAGGGACCTCCCATTTATTTTAGCAAAATCTCAAATCTATATCAAAAGTTAATATGCTTTTCAATAGCTGGTTCAAATGGTAATCTTTTATCTCCAAACAAGAAGCTTCTTAGCTACAAACTTTTATTTCCAACTTGCAGTAAGATTTTTTTTATATGTTGTACTGATGTATAATAGTAAAGATTTATGTTTTTATTACAACCTTCCACTCAAATAGAAGGGTGAAAATCAAGTTAACGAGACCCTCTTTGATCCCGCAACTTTCAATGAGAGCAAAGAAGAAGGCCTGAGATTTAACAAATTCATTATGAGGTTGACCAGATAAGGAACTGGTGTTAATTCAAGTAAGTTGTCTCATATTCACCATTTATGCTAAAATCAGTAGACTGGATTATAGAATAATTTCTGTATTTTATGAGCAAAGTCCAACACTCTGCTATAGAGTTCCCATTTTGTCAAAGAGACAAAACTTGGGACATGTACTTCCCTCCTTGCCTATCATGGTGAGTGTGCGCCGTGCACTCTGTGCAGTGTGAGGAAAGGTTAACACTGCATTCTGCTAAACTTCTGTGAAGTGAAGTCAGAGAGGAGGTCCTTGACACTTGTGAAAAAGTTCCGAATCATAAAAAAGACATTTCTCAGGAGAGACTACAGAGTTCAGTTTGCCAAAGCAGGACCCAGGAGTTCCTTAAGCCACCACACCATCTTCCAACAGAAAAGTTAAAGAAGAATATGGAGCTCCAATTGATGTCTGCTTTCAAGATCTCCCCAAGCCAATAGTGAGTGCATGAACTAAGTCAATCATCCCACAGACAGTCTAGTTCCGGACCTTGAACCACACAACACACAAGACTGTGTTAGGGGATAAAGGAAAAATTTCAAGTCCTGATCAGCTGGCATGAGCTGATTATTATGACCAATTGGAGAGGATTGTTTTTAATGGCAAATTATCAACTGGTTTCCATGAATCTTTTTGAACTACTCTTCATGATTATGGATTTTTTTATTTTTTAGATTCAAATGAGATATCAATATTTGCAGTGACAGGTGAAATTCCTGTGTCAGAAAAAACTAGTATTTCAAGTCCGTTGGCGACCAATAATAATCAGCAATAACCATTATCAAGGAGCACAGAGATGTATAATTACTAATAACAGCTGTATGTGTACCAAGTTGATGGGCATAAAAGCATATACTTTTAGGAGTCAAATTTGCCAATATGGACATATTACTCTTATAAGTGGAGTATAGGGTTAATTTTAACATTGGCCATCTCAATCGAAGAAGGCCAGTATCCTTGTGTGTTAGAAATGACTATATTGAAGGGTCTGCTTTATTGTCATCGTGTGGAAAGATTATTTATAAGATAGTCAGAATTGTTCAACAATTTTAAATTTATCGTTAACCCTAATTTATGTAGGCTATATTAAAGTTCTTTTCTGAGAAAAAATAGCACAGCACAATGCACATCAATACTTTTCATAACCTAAAAGGATAAATCTTTATAAAGCAGCCGCCAATAAACTGAAGAATGTACCTGGTGACAATATTTATTCTTAAGGGGTCATGTATATTAAAGGCTATGGGGAATGTTTAAAAGAACTCTCTCAGACTAAATCCATTGCCTTTCTAATTTTGAATTTCTCCTAGCTAATATAAAATGATTGATTACCTTTATTTCATGTACCCCTTGATTTTCCTTTTCATTCATCACTGAGTGCTTTAAACCAAATGCATTTAGAACCTGCTGTTACAAGAGTGGTCTCTTTTAAATCTTTGTAAAGTAATGAAAGGACACAGTAAATCAATCTCATTTCTGCTGTGGGAAAGCATAACCTTTACTCTACTGAAGTCACTTAAACTATTTCTGTCCCTCTGTTCCTGGATAGTAAGCCTGAAACTTCAGCTCAGTGGTTCTTTTAAAATTTAAAAGCATAAAAGTAATCATGTTTTAACTGGAACCTTACTTCAGTAATATTCATGTATAGTATGAGATGAATGTACATGCATTTTCTGCATGCCTCAAAATTGTAGCTCATTATAAATCTGGCATATTGAGCTTCTTCATTTCAAAAAGTAGCACTAAGTCTTCCATTATATACAGGGCAAATTATCCATTTGCCTGGTAAATACCAATCCTCAATAGAATTGAACATTACATGTTTAGCTCTGAAGCTTCTATAGCTTTTTTCTTCCAAGGATCAAGACACGTCGTGCATTCCATAAATATCAACTGCATTTGACCAAACAAATATTATTTATATTGTAAGGGGTCTTCACTTGACATTGCCCACTTAAATAAGAAGTGGTGGTCTTTGATGAGAAAAGTTTATAGTTCCAGAACTCATATATATATATATGTATATATGTATATATATATACATATATATATATATATTTGTCTTAATTAAAGTATGCTCAGAACTCCATCTACCTTAAGGCTCACGCTTTCCTGATGCTAAGTTTTCTTGATTTATCTTTGGGATATGTGAAAGAAGAAGTAACTTCTGCATGATGAACTTTTGTGATCATAATTCCCTGAGCCTCTAACATTAGTCATAAGTGATAAATATAAAAAAAATATTAAAGCTGCCATAGGTTAGCATAGGGGGATAGGAAGACTGCTTCTAAATACATGGAACTGGGTATAATCTAAATGGGGGACTAAAGGTTTAAATAATGGAGGCATGTGTCTATGAATTAAAAAATTAACTAGAAAGTAGAGATGTGTCATAAAGAATAATGCAAATCCCATGGTAAAAATATTTCTGAAAATATGCGGAATGATTTTTAAAAGAACAAGTCTCTAAACCTATAAATCCTACATATGTTTTTAGAAAACACAGTGAACATATACATTTGTCAAATATAACCATATTATAGTAATTATAACACATTTCACATTATAGCAATTTTAGAGGTGAAAAAAAGCAACATTCCAGAGAATTATGTTGAAAAGCCAATGGCAGGCAAAACCACTAATTATTATTTGGTATTTTCGTAACTGTGTACAGATGTTTTCAGTTAGTTCTCACCCTTTTTGTTTTGTTTTGCTTTTTAAAAATCTGGCACAATGTCAAATATCTTGAATAAGCTATCATCTTTATGATTTTTCTCTGAACTCTGCATGTGGTGACCTTTGATCTATGCCGTCTGCTACCTTGGTCCGCAACTGGGCAGGACTTGGGAATTCTGCAGGAGGCACAGCTAAGAGAGATACAACACGAGCTAGGTGGGCAAGTCCACAACAAAAGAAACAGGCATGAGTACCTGCGCGGGCTGACCACATACGTAAAAACACAGACAGATGCGAGATACGCGCATTCAACTTTCGAACGAAGAGCCAGTTAGTTTATACCAGCTTTTTCTTATTCATGATAGCCTATTTTTCCCTACTTAATATTTTGCACACTGTTAATTTCAAACCACTCTGCTATCAGAACTTGAGAGCAGCAAACATATGCATCATAAAATGTATTTAAATTCTGAAGTGTTTGGAATTATTTCTGTCATCCTATAACTAGAATCGTGGGATTTCTGTATTGGTATGTTCCATGCTTTTGACTGTGGCTAATTTGTTTATAAGCCACCATTAATCCTGGCTGTATATTTTCACAGTTTGGGTAAACACTTCATTTGCATTAAATTTACAGCATTAATGAGATGTGAAATTTAAAATGCTACTTGAAACATAAATGATGTAAGAAAGCAGAACAAAAAAAAGTGTTTTATCACATCTGAAATCAGTAAACCAATTTAAACCTATTAAAACAGGAATGATGTATCGCCTGAGATTTTAGCTTCATAACTCATCCTCTTGGACTAAAAGTCCAAAATGAGGAGTAAAACATCTGGAAAATATGAAAGGGCTCAAAAACACAAACTGTGTACTGCTTCTACTCTAATGGGCTTTTCAATCAGTTTTCAATTTTTTTGTCTTCAAAAGCTAAAGGCTAGTAAGTTCTCAATAGCCAATAAGACTGAGAAAAATACCCTGGCCGAGACCCTGTTACTCATGGATGTTATGGATAGAGGTCACAGAGATGGAAAAGGTCTTGAGCCAATTTGAGAAACCCTGTTTAGAAAGGCAAGAAACAAAGGATAAATGAGAAAATATTCTGGAAAATGAAATGATCAGTTTCTTTCCCAGAAGCCCCGGGAGCCCCATTCTGAGTCCAGATCTGAGAGGCAGCATGGAGAGAGCACCAATGCGAAAGCTTGCTACACCGTCACACCTGGGTGAAACGTGCCCACCTGTTGCTGATGTAGGAAGGATGGGTCTCTTGGGCTTAGTCCCACATATCGATTGGCTTGAGATGTGCCTGAGGCTGTGTAGGCTGATTAAGGAAGAACAAAAACAAAGATAAAAATTGTGAACTATCAGAATGAACACCCTGTCCATGTAAAAGAAAACCCAGGACGTGGGATTTGCAACCGAAAAAAAAAAAAAAAAGTGTCTCTATTTCCCTATTCTTTTGTTTGAGTGAACACCAAGTGATATAAAAGAAATGGCGGTTGACCTCAACTCAACTCCTTTATCCCCCTCCCCAGAAATCTGTCCAATCAACCACATGCCGGCCTCTGGTGTGGACATCTCACACTTATGTGCTCCAATGATAGTACTGCAGGGGAACCAAGGACTGGCTAAGTAGAAGGGTTTTCCTACTTGTCCTGTTTCACCAGACAGTAGTTGTCTAATAATGGGATAATCAATGATGGTCTGTGATTCTAAATGTAAGACTGAAAGTCTATTGGGAAAAAGCTTGTAATGAGTGGGATTTAAGCAGATGAGCTTGATGATACAGAAAGAAACATGTCTTACTAAAGAGAAAATCTAATATTTCTAACATGAAGGAGAAGCCTATATTTATGATATCATATAGAGTGAATTAGGTCAGTATTCTATTCAGTGTGAAAATGACCTTAAGTTTGATAGAAATGTTTTTGAGAAAATTCTTTCTTTTCCGTAAGCACAAGAAGTCAATTTCTTGTGACTGGTCCAGGGAGGGGTGGTAGCACCTTTGAAATACTTGGCCACCAGGCACTAAGTACCTATGGTGAATATTCCCTAAGTTATTTACTCTCACCTTGTAAGTACTTTTCGTAGAGGTGCTTTTTGGTACACAGTGAAGTTTCCAAAGAAAACGTCTCCCTATTCCTAAAGATTTCTGTTTGTTTTCACAAGGAAAGGAGTTCCCAGCACTAAAGCAATCCCATTGCTCCCTGCCGGAATAAAAAGAACTACATTTTCACCATTCACGTTACATCTACGGGTCTGAAGGAAGCTAAAATGTTTGGTTTAACACTATCAGATTAATAAGAAATCCAGACATTAATCTTTAAAAGGTTTTTTTTTTAACCAAATATATTAATTCTGCCATGTTCATTTGAAGGGTTGTAGAATTAGATCCATTGAAGCTTTTTTAGGTCAACTTTTTAAAACAGTGAAGATGCTCACAATTCAGCATTAATTACTCCTGAATAAAGGGGCCCATCCAAGGACAGCCATAAGAGCGGGGCCCCTCCTCGATCTCCAGGCCCCTGGAATTCAATGTACAGCACGGACAACTGGAGAAAAGCCTCACCCTTATAGAGGGGCAACAAGTCTGAGGTATTTTCTCTTTCCAGCCATGAGAAAGAGGTTTCCCTGGTCTATGTGTTTTCTTTAATTTTATTGACTTATCAGCTCAAAGACCAATTTTTCATTATCAGTGCTGTCTCAGGAGCTAGAGCTCCAAGTTTGTGTATAGGGAAGAAAAACAACTCACTATATTTCTTTTATGCAGGAGTGGAAAATGGGCTGATACAGCCATCTTTATACAACCAAGATATTCCCTCTGAGTATTTTGTAATTTTATTAGTCAAATCAGATCCCTTTTTGACCAACCTATAGGTGAGTATAAGAACAGTGCATTAGCAAGCAGGCTGACAACACTCCCATAGAGAGCTGTGATCGTTTGGGTCTGATCTTCCCTTGAGTGTCATCTATTAATGTCACTAGAAGAGTAGGTACCTGAAGTTTCTAGAACTTGGTTTGAATCATTTATCCTGTGATAGTCTTTCAAAAACTTAAAAAAAAAAATCTTTGTTTTCTATTTGCCTTTATTTAAATTACTGACTTTGCTAAAAGAAGCCAACACATCCACTTTTAAAAGTATTTTAGTGGCCGTAGTGTATATAGCTAACCTTTAAAACAAAAGAATTTTTAATCTTTCTTGACTGGATTTCATCCATCTGTGCATTCAGGGAAGTGCTCACTGGACCCTCTACCAACTGACCAATTACAAAAATTAATGATTATTGATGGGAATTATAAGCCTACATGGACTGATTAGGCTATGGGGCCTCATGAATTTTGAGAAAGAAATGCTCAATTCACTGTACCCTCAAAGTATTGTCCTTTTTTCTTGTAGTGTTCCTTCCTAGGTTTTCAGAAGTCACCAAAAAAAGAAAAGGAAAAAAAAAAAAGGAAAACATCTTTCCAAAGCCTGAGAAAGAAAGAGCCAGTGGTGTCTCTGTACTTTCACTTAGAAATTTCCAGAGCATGTCAATTTTTTTTTGCTCTAGGAAAGAAAATGGAACCTCTGAATTTCAGATACAGAATGCATAATTGATGAGGAGCCTGCTAATTACTCCTGTCTGGAACTTTATCCATTCCGCTATACCAGTTCTAGGAAGCCGGTAGTTTTGTTGAAGCCAATTAAAAAACTGTGTAATAATTTTTTATGTATTGATGAGTATTCTGTATGAAGAAGCAAAGGAATCATTGGTTTATTGGTACGTTCTTTGTTAAGTCCACTGGCTAAATCTCTGACATTTAAAATGTGATAGCCATGTTAAAAAGCGTAGTACCTGATGTATCATGATAAGCAAAAAAAAAAGAAAAGAAAGAAAAGAAAAAAAGTCATAGACAATGAAAGTGTAGGTAGCAGCTTACATGTGCCTCATACTCAGCTTCGAAATGTTCTCATCCGCACCCAACATCCTGTAACTGTTTTTTTGCAATGACATAACCTACGGTAATATAAACGTGCAATTATCTTTCAGAGGCACTGATTCAGTCTGCCTTGTGAAGGCACTGATTTCTCTAGGAATGCTCCAATAAGTAACAATTATCTGATCTCTCTCTGGGTGACAGAGAAACCTTGCACACTGCATTACGTTATTCGGTGTCTTTTCAATGTATACCTTGAACAAGCAGGCATGACTTATCATCTTTGTTAAAGCTGTTTATTCAAACAAATACGCTTCTCCCTTTTCAAATATGATGTACGGACTGAAATTTGATAAGAGAGAGCTTGTGATAGCCAGGCCACATACATGCCTGCTAGTTCCACATAAATGAGAAATCTCCATCGGGTCTGACAAGTTGCCGTGTTCTCCACCTTGGATCAGGTATCCAATGGCGCCTTTGATGGACATTTCTCATTTCCTACAGAAATACTTACTGGTTGCTGTAGGTGAAGCTGCCTCACCTTCAGTGGATGTAGTGATGGGTTTAGTATCTGTCATGGTCAGGGTCACAGGTCGCATTGCACTGGGATGGGGAGAGGGTGCCAAGACAGGTGTGAAATGGCCAGGCACTTTCCCTACCACTTGACCACTGCTGTTAGGCTACAAAACAAAAACAGAACGCCGGGTGAAACAATCCAAAAGGCAGTCGTCTCGTCCAACAGCTCCACTCCGCGCACATGGCCGCGTGAACCCTGCGGACTTGCTGGGAATGCCACAAGCCCTCTCAAGCCTGAGTCACAGGGACCAACCAGCGGTTAGTAGTAAAAAGAAGCAGCAGCGTTTCAAAGAAAGTCTTCACCTTCAAAACACTGTACATCGGTAAGTTCATCTTTACAACACCCCTGAGAGCCAGGTAGACTGATCCTTTCATTCAGTAGCACGAAGCCTCGAGTGGAGACTTACATGCTGAGCCCAAGACAACAATGTAAGTCCTCCCTGAGCTAGTGAGAATTTGAGCCATGCCTCCTTCTTCTCTGCTCTTCGTTTTCTGTAGTGAGTCTGTTTGGGCTTTCAGAACACAATTCTCACCTAATGATGCTATCACTGACACAAAGAAGACGAGGGTATCTAGGAGCTCAAACACATCAAACTCAATAGTTTCCATCATTTATAGTCAAGGCCCATCTTCTGCGTTCAAAACCTCTTAGCTCTCCGTCACACACAGGGACGCTCGGACACACACATCAAGCCATTTAGATTCAAGGATCTCCGCTTCACTTTTGGTGATTTACTCATACGAGCAGATAGAATGATATTTAAAGCATTTAAAATTTCAGGTCCACACCATGATATACAATGATGGACTAGGCCTAACTTTACAGCTACAAATAAAAGATTTCTAAAGTCAATTAAAATGTGCTGAAGCAGGGGCGGCTGGGAGACTCAGTCGTTAAGCGTCTGCCCCTGGCTCAGGTCATGATCCCGGGGTCCTGGGATCGAGCCCCGCATCGGGCTCCCTGATCAGCGGGGAGCCTGCTTCTCCCTCTCCCACTCCCCCTGCTTGTGTTCCCTCTTGCTGGGTCTCTCTCTGTCAAATAAATAAATAAAATCTTTTAAAAAGAAAATGTGCTTAAGTAAAGCAGAGGGCAATCAAATATACTTTGTTACTTAAGTTACTCCTCCATGGCTGGGCATGGAGAGTTACACCAAACATTATTGTTGACATTTGTGGGAATCAACTGAGAAAATCCCCAGGGCAATGACAGAAAAGATATTAATATCTGAGTTTTAGCCCCGGGTATGAAAATAGTATCTGTGGTAGGAGAAAAAATCCTAAGGGTACACTGCTTGAAAAAAAAAAAAAATACTGGAATGTATTTTTCTAGACAGAGAACGTTATTTTTGATTACACTCATGTTGGAATTCTCCACTGTATGGTGTACATAACAATTTGCCATGAGAATATTCTCCACAAATATTTAGTCTTTATAATCAGCACTGTTAAAGGCAAAGAATGCAATGAAGCAGAATATTTATCTAAATACCTGCACATAAATTACCAGGAGACATTTCTTTAGACAAAAAGATGAACAGCTAATAACACTTAAATACTGTAACTCACAGACATGAACTAAGTCTTTGGTTGGGCTCCTCAGAGGCCACATTATTTATTCTATAAAGAAAATGGACTTCTTGAATATCCTGCCTATTCATCATGAGTAATTTTAAGTATTTAACTTTATGTCAGGAAAATTGACCAGAGTTTCCCCCTATGGAAACCTATGAGAGAGTTATATCTTTTGACTAATTTTATTTAAAATAATCCACTGAATAGCATGACTGTCTCAGTCTAATCGGTGCACCAGCAATTAATCTCCAAATTGCTGTGGGGAGGATGAGGCATCTCAGTTGCTGGACTTAGCAATCAAAATCAGTGCAGGGCTGGAGGAAATCTGGGAAGGGATAGTGGACCACAGGTGAACAAGCCCTCATTTTTCCCCCCATTTTTAGAGCTAAACAGGTAAGTGTCAAGAGTCCTCTTTTGAAATGCAAATTAATTGGTTTTGAGTTGGAGCTAAAAATCAAAGGAGCTATGATGTGCCCATAAAAACAATTCTGCAGTGTACTAGAAAGATGCATTTTCTTTTGGGCGCCTGG